GGCTTTTCTCCACAATGCTCCTCTCTGTCTATTCTGTCCACAACCAATAAATCGCCGTTTCGCAGGTTAATTCCGCAATACTGTCTGTCTCTTCCCTCCATGTCAACGCGAGCTTTGCGAGCAGACAGTCTTCCAATCTCCAGTCCCAGATCCTTGGCGATATTTCCAATAACAGATCCGCGCTTCAGCTCCTCCTTTACAGAATAGCTCAAGTCTCCTTGAGCGTAGAGCACCGCAACAAAGAAAAAGACGAAGCCACAGCTTCGAAGAACACCCTGTCTATCCATCATCCTACAACAGCACTATACAAATTAAAACAGGGTAGTTTCAACCATTAAAAAAAAGGTTAATCGGTCAATGTATTTGCCTTCAGTGCATTTTTCGTCTTTGTTGAAGGCTGTAGGAAGACAGGGCTGGTCGATCCCAATTGTGGGTGGTGTGCAAAGCAGGCTGAACATTCGACTCCATAGCTGGTCTATACTGACACCGTGAGTATAAATGTATTATAGCAGGTTTCCTTAAGTCATGCAAATATCCTAAAAACATTATAAGATCATTTGGCCACGATATTTGAATATAAACTTATTGTAATGAGATACTGTAAAGTGTAATGAGGCACCACAATAATATTTCGGCTTGATGTGACTATAGTGGGATGGTTGATTTCACCGTTATTAGGAACTACAGACATAAGTGTTTCCACCAGAAGAAATCCACCTAAAGCTTTTAATAATGATAACAGAAAAAGATCATTCCCCAAATGTTAAGCAAATTTTGACCACGGATTACGTCATTTAGTGTTGCAAGCTAAATGTTTCAAAATCGCTTAGAGGTTCATCTGTCTCACTCTCAGAGTAACAGAAAGTTAGAATATTTTTTTTTCATGTAATATTCAAAAGTCTGCCGACAGCTGAGCACAGACACCAACTGAATTAAATATCAGACTTTAACTAAAGATGCATATTGCAGACAAACACCACAAATAGACTGGAATGACAGCATGCAATTCATGGTGCACTGTTTCAGAAAAATCTGATTTTTAATTCACCTATAGTTTGACATTGAGGACAAGAGGGGGATTATAAACTTCCTGCATGTAGGTAAACGTCAATAGCAGTAAATGAAAATGAATCGTTGATAACATGCACTTACAATCAAGGAATGCTACTTGCTGACTTCAAACAATTTTCACCCATTTCAAAACAAATGTCTTTGTTTTACGTCAAAGAAAAGTTTAACTGTAATACACAGCACAAACGTTAAGAGTAGGTGTGCAAAGAAAAAAACAATGGCAAAACTAAACCATGATCTCAAACGTTTGACAGGTAAAAACAGAAGACATGACATGTGAATTACTTCAGAAAATACATGACCAGTCGCTGCTAAGTTCAGCACCAAGGACAGAGACAAAAAGCTACACCTGCAGCTCTGCTCAAAGACTCAGAAAGACAAACGGATGGCGTGTGAAAAAATGATACGGTTTTATTTAAGGTATACTAAAACGAGATCAACTGTCACTCGATAGCATACGACAATGAAACATACGACGAAAAGTGAACTAAAAAGAAAACTACAACATTACTATTTGTCATGCTCCATGATGCATTATCAAGCTTACTGTAGGCATTTAAGATAAAATTAACTCGTCTTGAGGTTGCAGTTACCTTTTTTTATGTGACGTGTATCTATAGTATGTAAATACAAGGCAGATGTGTGTTACATTGTTAAAATTGTCGTTTCTGGAGAAAAGAAGACACGAAAAGTAAATTAAAAGTCTCGAGTTATTGAAGGAGACATTAAAAGTGCTAATAGAAATATGTCAAACAAGTGACAGCTGTCCCTACCTCAGGGAAATCATCGCAATCCGCAAATGCATCAGCAAAGTCTGATGGACTTTTCTTCAGAGTCTGGTCAGCAGGAAGTGTGTTGTCATTGTATGAAGTCACAAACTTAAAGTCACTGGTTCTAGAACCTGTTGTCAGGTACGCGTCATAATTGTAAGTGCTGCGCAAAGTTCCTGTGCCGTCAACATCTGCGTAATTAGGAGGCAGATAAGCGCTGGGGATGGCGACTGCTCCGTCAAACAACAGTCTGGGCTTTCTCCTGCGACAAAACCTCACACCCAGGATGATGATGATGAAAGTCAGAAAAAAGGTGGACACAGACACCAGAGCGATGATCAGGTAAGAGGTCAGTTTGGAATTCTTCTCATCATAAGAAATATCCTTCAGTTCTGGCACCTCAGCCAAGTTATCAGAAATAAGTAAATACATGGAACAGGTGGCAGAGAGAGAGGGCTGTCCGTTATCTTTAACTGCCACAATAAGGTTCTGTTTCATGCTGTCAGATTCAGAAATGTCCCGCTGTGTCCTGATCTCTCCACTGTGGAGACCAATAGTGAAAAGTCCCGGATCAGTGGATTTCACTATATGATAGGACAGCCAGGCGTTCTGTCCGGAGTCTGCGTCCACCGCTATCACTTTGGACACCAGGGAGCCTCCGTGTGCAGCTTTGGGGACCAGCTCGGTCATGAAGGAGTTGCCCTCCGGGGCGGGGTACAGTATCTGAGGAGAGTTGTCGTTCACATCTGATATGAAGACACTCACGGTCACGTTGCTGCTGAGCGGAGGAGAACCGTTGTCTCTGGCCATCACGTGGACTTTAAAGCTCCTGAACTGTTCATAATCAAACGACCTCACAGCGTGGATCACCCCCGTGTCTCCGTTAACAGACAGATAGGAGGACACCGGGGCACCGTTCACCTCACCAGCTAACAGAGAATAAATCACTGTACCGTTTTGTCTCCAGTCGGGGTCTCGAGCAGTAACGGAACATAAAGTGGAGCCAGGTTTGTTATTTTCAGTCACATATGCGCTGTACGACTGTTCCTCAAACACAGGTGGGTTGTCGTTGATGTCAGCTACAGATAACTCAACAGTTTTAGAGGAGGACAGAGGTGGAGAGCCCTCGTCAGTGGCAGTGATTGTAATGTTGTAATCAGACACTAGTTCACGGTCCAGTTGTCCTGTGGTCACCAGAGAATAATAGTTTTTAATAGAAGGAACCAACTTAAAAGGGACATTCTGCTGAATGGAGCAGCGGACCTGTCTGTTATTCTCAGAGTCTCTGTCCTGCACGTTAATGATGCCCACCTCTGTACCAGGTGACACGTTCTCAGGTATGGGATTAGACAGTGATTTCAGAAATATCACTGGAGCATTATCATTTATATCAGTAATTTCAATCATTAACGTAGCATATGAAACTAAACCCAGACCATCTTTGGCGCTGATCTGCATATCATAGGATGACACTTTCTCATAATCAATAGCTCCAGCTACTCTCACCTCTCCCGATTTGGGGTGTAAAGAAAACACGTTATCATTTTCATCTGAAACATGATCAAATCCGTAAGTAACTTCACCGTTCACTCCCTCATCTGCATCAATTGCACTCACTGTGATCACCAACGTATCTAGAGGAGAGTTTTCAGGCAGACTGGTTTTATAGACGGTCTGGCTAAACACTGGTACATTATCATTAGCATCCAGGACAGTGACGTGTATGGCTACAGTACCTGATCTCTGAGGAGAGCCACCATCAAATGCAGTTAGCAAGAGCATGATCTCTCTTTTGTCTTCTCTGTCTAATTCTTTCTCTAAAATTAATTCACAATATTTTCTTCCACCTGCTTTTCTGTTTACATCCAATTTGAAGTGATCATTCTGCTGAAGGGAGTAGCCCTGAACAGCATTTTCTCCGATGTCTGCATCATGCGCCTCTCCAAGAAGGAATCGCGAGCCCTTGACTGCCATTTCATGTATTTCAATCTTAAAATAATCTTCTTTAAACTGTGGTGAATTATCATTAATATCCTGTACACGGATACTAATACGGTGCAGCTCTAATGGATTTTCCAGAACGAGTTCCTGTTTTAGAACACACGATGCCTTTCTGGCACAAAGCCCTTCTCTGTCAATCCTTTCTTGAACAATCAAGTCTCCGGTGTTGAGATTGACACCGCAGTACTGAACGTTGTTGTCCTCTGTATCGACACGGGCCTTGCGAGCGGTCAGTCTGCCCAAATCTAGTCCCAGATCTTTAGCGATATTTCCAATCACAGATCCACGTTTCATCTCCTCCAGAACAGAGTAGCTCACATCTCCACAAACAAGGTGGAAGGCAAGAAAAATAAAAGCAAGGCCGTACCGCAGCGCGAGTCCGTTATATCCCATTTTAACTGATAGAAAGAGCACCACTGCTACAAAGTAGCCTGTGTAACAATATATCGAACCAGTGATTTCCTCAAATATTCACGATCCTCAAAGTAAGGTCATGTTAACGAAGCGTTCTTGTGAACTGCAGCACAACAACAGATTCAGGCTTTGAATTCGTTGATACATAAGGGTGGAGAATGACTGTGCCTTCTCGTTTTTTGGTACACACTGACACCATGAGCATTTGTTTAGGTATAGCAAGGCAATGTATTATTTGAGAAGTGTTTCACTATACACAAGTTCAAAGAACCCTGTTAATCAAAACAAGTACAACAGTCATATTATTTACTTTACAATTTCATATTTACCTTAAGCTTTTTCCCACTTGTGAAGTAATAGAGAACTAAAAAAGTAGAGATCAACATGAAACTATTCAAACTGTGTCTCGGATACAACAGTGTGTTTTAATATAATTATTATGTCCAAATGAAGGCAGCACAAAAAATAAGAAGGGAAGACTTTCATTTTAGATTTAGGTTTCCTCTGACATCAAATCTATATGCAGCTTTAAAAGCGTCCTGTAAACATCCTAATAAATACTCCGCATTCATGGAGCCTACAACAAGCTCTTGTCCTTGTAATTGTGCATATTTAAATCATAAATGGAAAAAATGAATTAAGCATTTTTATGGTCGGACTTAGACAAGCATTTGACTGTTACAAGCTGCAAACTGAAGTGTTGTGTGGTTAAAATCATATCAGCATCAGTGTTGTACTCTGTGTTAATGCATCAAAATTAGAAAGTTCAATTTGGAATAATGACTGTCAGGGAATAATTTTGACAACTTGGAGGAGACAAAAATATCAGAAATACATGTCCCTCCCAAAGTCGAAAACAAAGTTTTTACATGAATGCTTCAATCTACCTTGATGAACATCAAAATATTATTTTAATTGTTGTTGTAGTAAACATCAGTGACAAATGACTGTTCACAAAAAGCTTGGAACATGGCAATAAGGTTCGATGGTGACATAAGCTGTAACAAAGTCCAAAAAAACAGTGCTGTTATTTAATTTATTTTGCTGAAACACGCACCAAAAAAGAAATACAATGTTTCTGTGAGAACCTCACATGAACAGATGATTTCTCAAGCTTTCTACGTCCTTTTGTCGTGCGTGCGCATATTTTTACGTGTATATCACTGACATCAAAATTTCAAGTCGTGGATTAAATGCTTTACAATACTACCCACAATACCCAAGACCACCGAGAACAAGAAAGCCAATACCAGAAGCAATATCAAAGGATATTCACTGAAATAACGATCAGAAAAGAGAAGAATGACGGTGGAATCAGATGACTGACGTACATTATCCCTGAAAATGCATCAAATTATCTACCAGAGTTCAGCACCAAGGAGAGAGTGGATGAGCCGTACTTGAAAAGGTTTTTCATTGGCAAGGACATATAGAGCAATCACGAGAGCAGAGATCTGCAAGTACGGCGTCTTGGGTAAGTGAACAAACGTATATTGATCTTAAAATGTCTCCCTACCTCTGGGGAAGCATCGCAATCCGCAAATGCATCAGCAAAGTCTGATGGACTTTTCTTCAGAGTCTGGTCAGCAGGCAGTGTGTTGTCATTGTAAGATGTCACGAACTTAAAGTCACTGGTTCTAGAACCTGTTGTCAGGTACGCGTCATAATTGTAAGTGCTGCGTAAAGTTCCTGTGCCGTCAACATCTGCGTAATTAGGAGGCAGATAAGCGCTGGGGATGGCGACTGCTCCGTCAAACAACAGTCTGGGCTTTCTCCTGCGACAAAACCTCACACCCAGGATGATGATGATGAAAGTCAGAAAAAAGGTGGACACAGACACCAGAGCGATGATCAGGTAAGAGGTCAGTTTGGAATTCTTCTCATCATAAGAAATATCCTTCAGTTCTGGCACCTCAGCCAAGTTATCAGAAATAAGTAAATACATGGAACAGGTGGCAGAGAGAGAGGGCTGTCCGTTATCTTTCACTGCCACAATAAGGTTCTGTTTCATGCTGTCAGATTCAGAAATGTCCCGCTGTGTCCTGATCTCTCCGCTGTGGAGACCAATAGTGAAAAGTCCCGGATCAGTGGATTTCACTATATGATAGGACAGCCAGGCGTTCTGTCCGGAGTCCGCGTCCACCGCTATCACTTTGGACACCAGAGAGCCTCCGTGTGCAGCTTTGGGGACCAGCTCGGTCATGAAGGAGTTGCCCTCCGGGGCGGGGTACAGTATCTGAGGAGAGTTGTCGTTCACATCTGATATGAAGACACTGACGGTCACGTTGCTGCTGAGCGGAGGAGAACCGTTGTCTCTGGCCATCACGTGGACTTTAAAGCTCCTGAACTGTTCATAATCAAACGACCTCACAGCGTGGATCACCCCCGTGTCTCCGTTAACAGACAGATAGGAGGACACCGGGGCACCGTTCACCTCACCAGCTAACAGAGAATAAATCACTGTACCGTTTTGTCTCCAGTCGGGGTCTCGAGCAGTAACGGAACATAAAGTGGAGCCAGGTTTGTTATTTTCAGTCACATATGCGCTGTACGACTGTTCCTCAAACACAGGTGGGTTGTCGTTGATGTCAGCTACAGATAACTCAACAGTTTTAGAGGAGGACAGAGGTGGAGAGCCCTCGTCAGTGGCAGTGATTGTAATGTTGTAATCAGACACTAGTTCACGGTCCAGTTGTCCTGTGGTCACCAGAGAATAATAGTTTTTAATAGAAGGAACCAACTTAAAAGGGACATTCTGCTGAATGGAGCAGCGGACCTGTCTGTTATTCTCTGAGTCTCTGTCCTGCACGTTAATGATGCCCACCTCTGTACCAGGTGACACGTTCTCAGGTATGGGGTTGGACAGTGATTTCAGATATATAACTGGGGCATTATCATTCATATCAGTAACTTCAATTATTAGAGTTGCATATGACGCCGATCCCAGACCATCTTTGGCGCTGATCTGCATTTCATAAGACCATTCTTTTTCATAATCAATGGCTCCAGCCACTCTAACGTCTCCGGTTTTAGAGTTTAAAGAGAAAACATGGTGTTCATCTGAAACATGATCAAATCCGTAAGTAACTTCACCGTTCACTCCCTCGTCTGCATCAGTTGCACTCACTGTGATCACCAGTGTATCTAGAGGGGAGTTTTCAGGCAGACTGGCTTTATAGACGGTCTGGCTAAACACTGGTACATTATCATTAGCATCCAGGACAGTGACGTGTATGACCACAGTGCCTGATCTCTGAGGAGAGCCACCATCAAATGCGCTAAGCAACAGCATAATCTCGTTTTTGTCCTCTCTGTCTAATTCTTTGTCTAAGACTAGTTCCCCATATTTTCTTCCACTGCCTTTTGACTTAACGTTCAGTTTGAAATGTTCGTTCTCTTGAAGTGAGTAGCCCTGAACAGCATTTTCTCCGATATCTCCATCGTGTGCTTCATCTAGCAGAAAGCGCGAGCCCTTGACTGCCGATTCTTGAATTTCAATCTTAAGTGAATCCTCCTTAAACTGTGGTGAATTATCATTGATATCCTGAACACGGATACTAATACGGTGCAGTTCTAATGGATTTTCCATAACGAGTTCCTGTTTTAGAACACACGATGCCTTTTTCGCACAAAGCCCTTCTCTATCAATCCTTTCTTGAACAATCAAGTCCCCAGTATTCAGATTTACACTGCAGTACTTAACATTGTTGTCCTCTGTATCAATTCGGGCTTTGCGAGCGGACAGTCTGCCCAAATCAAGTCCCAGATCCTTTGCAATATTTCCGATTACAGATCCACGGTTCATTTCTTCCGGAACAGAGTAACTCACGTCTCCATAGACGGGGAGGAGGGCAAGAAAAATGAAAGCAAGGCCGTAGTGAATCTCAAATCTGCTGTATTCCATTGTTACTCCGAGAAAGACCACGTATATATCAAAATGATCAACAAACAGGTTAAAATATGTCAACGATGCATCCGTGAATTCTTCCAATAAACACAAAAGGTCGCAATGCAGTCATACACGAAGCGTGTTATGTGAACTGCGGCCCAATAGCAGAATCAGGTTTTAAATTTGTTGACACTGAAGGGTGGAGAATGGCCGTGACTTCTTGTTCACTAGTACACACTGACACCATGAGTATTTCTGAGGTATAACAGGGTGATGTATGTTTTTCCATGTGCATATTTACAATATGGACCTCTTCAGTGACAGTTATTTGCCAAAACAACAAGAACAACATAAACAACTTTACTCTGCTAAAAGGCCCATTTTAAATGGAAAAAAGCAAAACAATCATGAAATTGCTGTGACTGTGCATCGGGAAGAGCCTGTACTTCCAAAAAACAATTTGAAAAAGGCACAGACAGTATAATATGCCTGAAGACAAAGCCAGGACCATTGTCCTTTCAGATATCTTTGTCTTTGAAGTTAGTCTTCCATTATATCTTAAAACTCAATGAGAACTAATATTCAAAAGTCAATTATCCTTCCTTGATGACAGGTTGGTCATATATTTTTCCTCTTTGTGCACTTTCTTCTAATTCCCATTATACTGGTGTAATATGGGATTAAGTACAACAGAGGAAGATTTCAATTGTCTGCAGATTTACATTTGTTTGCCCATATCCTCTGAGAAAACACTTTACACTTGGTAGTTGTGCAGTTGTTGCGCATGTGGAAAAATATTACTGTATTTCAAACTGTGAGGCTGAACCTGCATGGCCATCTAATGACAATAGTAGATTATGAACTGAACTCTTGTGTGATTTAAAACATACCATAGACTGTTTAAAACGTAAAGTTAATACACATAACACGGATCAATATTCCTGCAAAGCTCATGAAAGTTGCAGGAGGGATCAGATATATATCTCTATGTATGCTTGAATCTCTTGTGATGAGTAACAAAAAAATTATCAAACACTGAAATATAAGTAATGTAAGACTAAATTTTTTAAAAACATGGTGAAAGCTGTTGCTCTACAACAATTTATATTACTCTGGAGTTCGGCAAATGATAAAAAAAGCTGAGATTTATAATCAGTTATTGCAAAGATCAGGAGTGCAGAGGTGAAATTTATTTTGTTAAGTTATAACAGTGGATATATATCAGATAAAACAAAGCTACCAAACGCCCAGGAAAAAATACATTGATATTTTAGCAAGTTGCTGTGTCATACTTTGGCTCGTGTATTGCTTTTATCGATCATTAATCTGTACTGCAAACTGTTTATAAAAGTAAAAATTAATATTAATTGAAAAACACTACAGCAGGGAAAATAAATTTAAGGGAGGACACATTTTTCATGAAAGCATGTCATTACGTTTACAGATAGATGCCCAGCTTAGGAAAAGGAGGCCCCACAAACAAAACAGGAAAAACACACAGGCTTCATTTTCACTTTCTTCATGCTGCTCTAATACTGGGTCTACCAAAATTCTGATGAAAATGGATCCAGAAGGGGATTTTACATAGACACCAGAATAAATAGAAAACATATTCATATGAAAACCTCAGAGCAAAAAAATCATATTGTGGAAAAAGCAGCATAATTGGAATCTTTTCAAAAAGCATAATAGATGACATTTTTTTAAATCAGCAGAGCATATAAACGAACACAGATCGAAACACAAGGGTAACTTATCTCAAAAAATGTGTAAGACCATGAAAAGCAATTCAGCACCAAGGACAGAGACATGAAGCATAGTTTGAAAAGTTTTCCTCACTAGTGCAACAACAAAGCATCCATGTCACTTTAGAAAAACAGATGGACTTAATGAAGACCTCATTTAAAAAACTTAAATATATGAGGCTTCATTAGACAAAACAAATGTGAATTTTTTTACGTTTCATGCCTTTTTGTTTTTAACGTGAGTTTAGCACAAATAAGAAGCCTGAAGTCTTTATGAAAATCATGAACTCAAAACGACCTTAAGAACCTTTAAAAGGGTCTGAAATCATCACCACATAAAAGAACGGCAACACCTCGACAAGTGAAAGCAAAATACCAAAATATATTTTTCAGAAAAACTGAAAATCAGTTTACTGATAATATCTTTTTCAGAACGAGTGAAATTGAGTTTACTGATATATAAGTATATATAAGTTTCCCTACCTCAGGAGAAGCATCACAATCGCCAAACGCTTCAGCAAAGTCTGATGGACTTTTCTTCAGAGTCTGGTCAGCAGGAAGTGTGTTATCATTGTATGAAGTCACAAACTTAAAGTCACTGGTTCTAGAACCTGTTGTCAGGTACGCGTCATAATTGTAAGTGCTGCGTAAAGTTCCTGTCCCGTCAACATCTGCGTAATTAGGAGGCAGATAAGCGCTGGGGATGGCGACTGCTCCGTCAAACAAAAGTCTGGGCTTTCTCCTGCGACAAAACCTCACACCCAGAATGATGATGATGAAAGTCAAAAAGAAGGTGGACACAGACACCAGAGCGATGATCAGGTAAGAGGTCAGTTTGGAATTCTTCTCATCATAAGAAATATCCTTCAGTTCTGGCACCTCAGCCAAGTTATCAGAAATAAGTAAATACATGGAACAGGTGGCAGAGAGAGAGGGCTGTCCGTTATCTTTCACTGCCACAATAAGGTTCTGTTTCATGCTGTCAGATTCAGAAATGTCCCGCTGTGTCCTGATCTCTCCGCTGTGGAGACCAATAGTGAAAAGTCCCGGATCAGTGGATTTCACTATATGATAGGACAGCCAGGCGTTCTGTCCGGAGTCCGCGTCCACTGCTATCACTTTGGACACCAGGGAGCCTCCGTGTGCAGCTTTGGGGACCAGCTCGGTCATGAAGGAGTTGCCCTCCAGGGCGGGGTACAGTATATGAGGAGAATTGTCATTCACATCTGATATGAAGACACTGACGGTCACGTTGCTGCTGAGCGGAGGAGAACCGTTGTCTCTGGCCATCACGTGGACTTTAAAGCTCCTGAACTGTTCATAATCAAACGACCTCACAGCGTGGATCACCCCCGTGTCTCCGTTAACAGACAGATAGGAGGACACCGGGGCACCGTTCACCTCACCAGCTAACAGAGAATAAATCACTGTACCGTTTTGTCTCCAGTCGGGGTCTCGAGCAGTAACGGAACATAAAGTGGAGCCAGGTTTGTTATTTTCAGTCACATATGCGCTGTACGACTGTTCCTCAAACACAGGTGGGTTGTCGTTGATGTCAGCTACAGATAACTCAACAGTTTTAGAGGAGGACAGAGGTGGAGAGCCCTCGTCAGTGGCAGTGATTGTAATGTTGTAATCAGACACTAGTTCACGGTCCAGTTGTCCTGTGGTCACCAGAGAATAATAGTTTTTAATAGAAGGAACCAACTTAAAAGGGACATTCTGCTGAATGGAGCAGCGGACCTGTCTGTTATTCTCAGAGTCTCTGTCCTGCACGTTAATGATGCCCACCTCTGTACCAGGTGACACGTTCTCAGGTATGGGGTTAGACAATGATTTTAAATATATAGCCGGGGCATTGTCATTCACATCAGTGACTTCAATTATCACTTTTGCTTCTGAAGAGAGCCCATAGCCATCTTTGGCCTCAACAAACACTTCATATTTGGATCCCTCTTCATAATCTATGTCACCTGTCACACTGATTTCTCCTGTTTTCTCATCCAGTGAAAAAAGCTTTCGTGATTTATCAGAGAGTCTGCTAAATTCATATGTAACTTCTCCATTGACTCCTTCGTCTGCATCTGTAGCACTTACAATGATAACTTTGGTTTTCAAGGGTGAGTTTTCTGGTAATGCAGCTGTATATACGGCCTCGGTAAATACTGGGGCGTTATCATTAGCGTCAAGAACAATGACGTGTATGACTACAGTCCCGGATCTCTGAGGAGAACCACCATCCACAGCCGTGAGCAATAATTTCATTTCCTGCTGCTCCTCTCGGTCTAACTCCTTGTCTAAAACCAACTCACCATATTTACTGCCAGCACTTGTCTTCTTTATACTAAACACAAAGTGAGGGTTTTGTTGTAAAATGTAGCTTTCGACTGAGTTCTTGCCTATGTCTGCATCGTGGGCTGCATTAATGCGATACCTAGCTCCTTTGTCAGCTGACTCTCCAATTTCCAGCTTTATAATATCCTTCGGGAAAATTGGTGCATTGTCGTTCACGTCCTGCACCTGCAGGGACAACCGGTGTAACTCCAAGGGATTCTCTAATAGCAAGTCGAATTTGAGAACACACGAAGGCTTTTCTCCACAATGTTCCTCTCTGTCTATTCTGCCCGCAACCAATAAATCCCCGTTTCGTAGGTTAATCCCGCAATACTGGCTGTCGCTTCCCTCCATGTCAACGCGAGCTTTGCGAGCAGACAGCCTCCCCACCTCCAGTCCCAGATCCTTGGCAATATTTCCAATAACAGACCCGCGCTTCAGCTCCTCCTGTACAGAATAGCTCAGGTCTCCTTGAGCGTAGTGCACCGCAACAAAGAAAAAGACAAAGCCACAGCTTCGAAGAATCCGCCGTCTATCCATCATCCTACAACAGCGCTACACAAATTAAAACAGGGTAGTTTCAAGCATTAAAAAAAGGTTATTCGGTCAGTGTGTTTGCCTTCAGTGCATTTGTCCTCTTTGTTGGAGGCTGTAGGAAGACAGGGCTGGTCGATCCCAATTGTGGGTGGTGTGCAAAGCAGGCTGAACATTCGACTTCATAGCTGGTCTATACTGACACCGTGAGTATAACTGTATTATAGCAGTTTTCCATAAGTCATGCAAATGTTGTTAACACATTTCGAGATAATTTGGCCAAAATATTTGAAAATAAACTTATTGTAATGAGATACTGTAAAGTGTAAAGAGGTACCATATTATTAATTCGGTTTGTGGGATGGTTGATCTCACCGTTATTGGGAACTACAAACAAGAGCG